AAGAAGAAGAAGAAGAAGAAGAAGAAGAAGAAGAAGAAGAAGAAGAAAAAGAAGGTGGTGGTGGTGTGCTTCACAAAATTGAATATCATTTTTGCTCAGGGGCCACATTAACCATCTTTGTACTCTGTTCTGACTTGGTATATGTACACTTATTCAGAGTTTTATATGAATGCAATTTTCTTTTTTGAGGTGCTGTCTAAAAACACAAAACGAAACAAATAAAAATCCAAAAAACAAAAAAACAAAAAACAAGCTATAACCCAGTCACCAGTTCCTTCCTTCCTTTCTTTCTTTCTTTCTTTCTTTCTTTCTTTCTTTCTTTCTTTCTTTCTTTCTTTTTTTGAGACAGGGTTTCTCTGTGTAGCCTTGGCTGTCCTGGAATCACTTTGTAGAACAGGCTGGACTCGAACTCACAGAGAGCTGCCTGCCTCTGCCTCTCTGAACACAGGTGCTACTGAGCCTGGCTCAGCCATCAGTTTCTTAATATGCAAGTATTTTTTATGTAGTCAGAAAAAAAAAGCTATTTTTAAGGTGAAAAAAATACACTGTGAATGGGTGTCATGCTGATTTAACAAAGAAGGAAGCAGAGCAGGTGTCGCCTCCGGTTCCTTGGTGGGAGGCTGGTGTAGGGAGGGCCCTGCAAGCTCATCTGAATCCATATGCAGAATCCTGCACAAAAGGCAAAGAAACTTGCCCAAGCTCACACAGCAGCTAGGGCCAGGGACAGGACTGAAGCCGGAAGAGCTCATCCTTCTCCACTAAGCCTCCTCTACGCCAGCCCGCACTGAACACAAGAGGTACCCACCATTTCCTCTGCCTAAGCTAAGGGTGATCAGGAAGGGCAGGAAGGAGGCAGCAGGATGCACACAGGGCACGGTCCTAACTGCTCCCATGACAGCACAGGCCCTTGCTCAGGAAACCCCACCCCCAAGACCGGACGCCCCAGGCCAGTCATGCTGAGCCATGGAGGCTGGACATCTCGAGCCTCCAGAGCACCTGCAGCCAACAGGAAACAAAGGAATGACTCTCTGGAGGTAGATTCCAGCTAAGTCTAGTTAGCAGAGCTAACACACCTTAAGTGTGTGGAGAAGACAGGCCCTAAGTCTTAGCCTCTTATCACTAGTTTACCCTTGACCACCACACCAAAGGCAAAGCCTGCTGACCATATCTAATCTGTCCAATTTGCCAGTGTGAAGCACTGGGTGGCTTTTCTTTCCTTTGCACTGAGGGAGAGTTGGGCTGACTGGTGAGATTCGCCCAGAGCCTGGGCTAGGCCTTCCCCTACCCTCACTGCATCACACTGGAGCTCCAAGACAGCTTGGGTGTTTCCACAGCAAACTGGGCGTCCCTGACTGCTGTCTCACTCTGAGCCAGATGTTCCCACCCAAATCCAGATGTGAGGAGAACAGAGGCTAAAAGAAAGGGTGGGGCCAGCATCAACCACCCAGGGAAGAGCTGGGAATAACAACCAGCAACTCTAAATAGAAGATGTGGCCCCCACAGGACCAGGGACTCCAGCCTGCCATGGAGTTCCTTCCACATGAACTCTCTTAGGCTTGTTGTGGTGGGGGCCGGCACTCTCCTGGATAGCTGATGTAGTGGAACTACAGAGATATTAAGGAACTTTGTCAACGTCTTCCAACTAGCAAGGGAAGGCACTGGTACCAAGACCGGTCCACGTGGCTCCAAGGCAGTGGACCACACCAGTGCTGATGTGAATGGGGGACAGGAGAGAAACTGTCAAGTCTCTGGACTTCCTCTATATAGTCATATCCCTTGGCTACCACTTCCCCAGCTTGCAAGTACAGAGCTATAAGAAGGAGCTCTGATTAGGGTAAGGCTGCCAGGAGGAGTTTCCTCCAGCAGTGGGAGGAGCTGATGGGAGCCATCCCAGCTCTACCCGTTGCCTGGACAGCAGCCTCGGGCCTCCCTCAGAGAAAATGACTTCCTGGAGGCAGATCCCCTCTGGTAATGGAGAATATTTAGCTCCTGCTCATTTTAGATGTTCATGGAAACTTTGCTCTCTCCATACACACTTCAAAACCAATGAGCTTTTTTTCCTTTCCTTTTCTTTTCTTTTCGTTTCTTTCTTTCTTTTTTTTTGACAGAGGATCTCACTATGTAGACCAGGCTGGCCTCAAACTCACAGAGATCTGCCTTCTTCTACCTCCCAAGTGCTGGGATTAAGAGTAGGCCACCCAGCCAGACATGGTGATAAATGCCTTTAATCCCAGCACTTGGAAGACAGAGGCAGGCAGATCTCTGTGAGTTTGAGGCCAGCTTGGTTTGCATAGTGAGCTCCAGGACAGCCAGCTACATAGCTGAGAATCTGTCAAATGTTCAGGTCACAAAAAAAAAAAAAAAAAAAAAAAAAGGAGAAAAAAAAAGTGTGCCACCATGCCCAGCTCTAGGTGTGATCTTTTGCCTCTTCTCTAAAGGTTTACTAAAAGTGTTTGTTTTTTTGAGACAGCATTTTTCTGAGTAGCCCTGGCTGTTCTGGAACTTACTCTGTAGACCAGGCCAGTTAATTTTTGAGATCTGCCTGCATTTAAAAACTAAAACACTGCCTCTAAAAAAAATGAAAATGTTTTATTTATTGTTATTGTATGAGTGTATGCATGGTCTCTCTCTCGCTCTCTCTCTCTCTGTGTGTGTAATACATCATGTGTGTGGAGATCAGAAAACCACTTCGTGGAGTTGGTTCTTTTCTTCCATCTTTAAGTGTTTCGGGAATGGAACTCATCTCCAAGCTTGCTCAGGAAGCAACTTCCGCTGAGACATCTTGCCAGACCAAGAGAAATGATTCGGAATCTGGTGCCACTTGGGACTCTGTGACCCTGAACAACGCATCTTTTCTTTCTAAGATTGGACTTAACCTTCCGCGTCTTTAAAATAAGCTGACCCATTGCTATACTGGAAACAAGAGGCCTCGGCATAATAGATGAGTCCACAGTCGCATGAAAGGACATTCAGCAAATATCTGCAGGGCCTCCCTCAAGCAGTTCGGCCCTTCTAGGTAGTGGTTGCAACAAGCACAAAAACTGAACCCTCCCCGCCAGGCGTGGGTCTTTTCCTGTCAGCCCTGACAGGTCCAGCTAGCGGTCTCTCTGGGTCCCAGTACAGAGAAGCTCTAGGATCCATAGTCGCTAGGTGGCGCGCGCGCCCCTGCTATCACCCGTGGTTCTAGGGTCCCACCAAGCACAACCGCTCCAAGCAGACGCCCATCGAGGAGCTGCGCGCCCCAGTACCCGAGGTGGATCGCCCAAACGGCCTTTTTTCTCTGGGTCGCGCCATGGTGAGGGTCGGACCGTGGTGAGAGTAGAATGGCAATGATCGGGGACCTTGTCGGGGTCTCCGATCTCTGGGAAGGGCCTTGCCTGAGCTTCCCGGCCTGGGCGAGGTCCCAGTGTCTGCTTGGCGTAAATCCAGGTTTCGGACGTGCAGGCCCCCGCCCTCCCGGGAGTCCGGCTGCTCAGCGCTGGCTCGTGTTCCCGCTCCGACCCCTTCAGGTCTCCAGCCAAGCGCTGCCCAGCTCAGCCCGGATCCGTTTCAGTAGCACTGCAGCTAAAGATAGGAGGACACCTCACCATCCTCTAAAAATACGGCCTCTAGCTCAGGCAGGGACACGAACCGAGAGGGAGGATGCTCCCTAGTCCCGGGGCTCCGGCATAGAACACTGCGTGCAGCCAGGAGCTGCGAGGGTGACAGCTCAGCGCCTTTGCGCGCTGCCGCAGGTCACGGGTAGAGGAGCGGGCACCCAGGCCCCAGGTAAGGAAGGGACCTGATCTGGGCCAGAACCGAGCACCACCCTCGTTGGGATTCTCCAGAGAGACGCGCGCGAGAGGCCTGCAAAAACCCAACCCGAACTCACCTTGAGGCTCGCGGGCAAAGCTGCAGCGCTGCGCGGCTAGGGTAGAGCACTGGGGAGGGCTTGGGAACTTAGAGCGCGGACTCTGGGCCCTAAGCCACGCCCTCCAGGGCTCGGAGCCAATCCCAGGCCGCTCCTCTCCAAGCCCCTCCCACATATCCCCGCCCACCGCGGCACCGCCCGGGTTCTCCTTTCAGCAGAGGCTCAGCCCTGGGTTCCCAGAGCCTCAGCCTCCCCACGCCAGCTGTGCGTGTTGGAATCAAAACTTTAGGCTAGAAGCACTGGGCCAGCAGAGGCCGGAAGAGAGAATTCTTGAGAAATCTCTGAACGTCCTTGGATGGGTTTCCTTGTAGGAAGGAATGGGACCCGGGAGGCGCCCGCCTAAGTGTATTCTGTGACTGCGGGAATGGGTCGGGCTTTGCAGGCTGCAGGCGTCTTACAAACTTAGGAGCGCTTTGAAGAGTTGGCCCTAACCTAGGAGAGAGAGAGCGATGGAAAGAGGGAGAGAGAAAGATTCGGGGGCGGAGGCCGCGGAGAAAAGACAGAAAGAGAGTGGGCACGCCTGTGTTTACTAGGTGGATTCTGAGGTGGGTGGTTTAGGCTAGCGCAGGGTTTCCTTCTTTCTTGCAGGATCACAGTTATTGAAGGGCAGGTCCTAAGGTTGCTAAAACAGACCGAGGGAAAGCTCTCATTGCTCCGTTTTGTGGCTAAATGGAGTAAATTCGTTGAGTGTCTGCTTGTGCTTAGGGAAACTCAAGAAATTCGAGGTTCCAGCTACAGGCTGATACCCTTCCAGGTGGATAAGTGCTAAGAGGAGTGAGGGAAAGAAGGGGTGGACAGTTCCGGGAGGAAGGGAACCAGGATACTTGGCTTCCAGACAGCAAATGTCGAAAAGGGGTGTGTGTATAGGAGGAAAGGGTGCTGGGTCGGGGAGTGTGTCAGGCAAGCCAGGAAGGAGGGGAGAATGGGAAGGATTATGACTCACGCTCCTCTAAAGATGTCTTTAGTCTGGGCTAGCGAATACAGCTGTGAGGAGTTCAGTGAGTCTCCCTGTATGTTAGTCCCTCTGTTTAATCCCCAGTCACACATGGGTGTATACTCACACACACCGATCACGCACACACACACACCCCTAGATCAAGATTTAACTTCCGGAGTCTATGACCATTTTGTTAGGTGGGAAGAGGGAATTTCAATTACCAAAGGAGTTATGATTGCTTGAACTCCTGGGCTCAAGCACTCCTCCTTCCTCAACCTCCCAGAGAGCTGGGTCCATAAGCCCTGATGCTCAGTTGATTTTAAAAGACAGATGTCCTGGGCTAGGCATGTACTTTGGTTCACAGGGTGCTTACCGAGCATGCCTGAGGCCCTGCACTCTGTTCCCAGCACTGAACAGACAGCATGTTAGGGTGCAAGTCTGCAATCCCAGCACTCAGAAGGTGGAGGCAGGAGGATCAGGAACTCCACCTCCATAAAAGGAGGTGTCATTTATTTTTTGAGACAGGTCTTCCTACATAAACTTGGCTGTCCTTTAGTTCTCTGTGTTGACCAGGCTGGCCTTGAACTCACAGAGATTAACCTGCCTCTGGTTTCAATGTATTTTTTTTAAATGCATGTACATATTTTTAAGTGCATGTACATGATTCTTTTTTAATATAATTTATTTAATTTTATTTTTTGTGCATTGGAAGGAGGGTGTCAGATCCCCTGGGATTAGAGTTACAGACAGTTGTAAGCTGCCATGTGGATGCTGGGAACTGAACCTGGGTCCTCTGTTTTTAACCAGCCAGTGCTTTTAACCACTGAGCCATCTCTCCAGCCCCTACCTGATTCTTTATAAGTGCACTCAAGGGGCTGGAGAGATGGCTCAGCGGTTAAGAGAACTGGGTGCTCTTCCAAAGGACCTGGGTTCAAATCCTAGCACCCACCCATAACTGTCTGTAATTTCATTTCCAGGGGATCTCACATCCTCACACAGACATGCATAGAGGCAGAACACCAATGTAAATAAAATAAAATAATTTTAAAAAGTGGATTCAGTGTAATTCTTTTAAAGAAAGAAGAAATAAAGATTGTCCTGAACGAGCCAAATTTAATTACAACGGCCGTTAAAAATAAAAAGACAAAAGAATGAAAGAAGGATCACAAGCACATGCCTGAAATCCAGCATTAGAGAGCTGGGGAGGCAGAGGCAATGACTTCAAGTCTGAGGTCAGTCTGGTCTGCAGTGAATTCCAGATTGTGCAGGGCTACACAGTGAGGCCTTGTGTCAAAAAAACAAAAACAAAAAAACAGAAAAAGGGGGGGGGGGTTAGTGAAATGGTTCGGCTTCTGACCCTCCTGCCTCTGCCTTCTGAGTGCTGGAACCGCAGACTTGCACCCTCGCCGGCTGTTCTGAATAGTGCCGAGGACGGAACCCAGGGCTTCACGGATGCTCCATTAGCACTCTGTGAACTAAAGTACGTTATCCTCAAGCCCGATGGCCCCGGGCTGGAGCCCCAGAACTCACATGGTGGAAGGAGAGAAGCCCTCTCCACAGGTTTTCTTCTGACCTTTACACACACCAGTAAATAAATAAATAAATAAAATTTGCAAAGTGAAAGGAAGGAAAGGGGCAAGCCAGAAAGATACTGCGGTGTTATTCTTAGAGATGAAAGAAGGGACCCCAAGCCAAGGAACTCTGAATCCTCCTGATTTGGAGAAGATGACAACAAACAGGTTCTGCCCTGGAGCTTCCAGAATGAACAGCTGTGCTAACACCTTCACTTTAGCCTTACGGGACTTCTGACCTACTTAACACGTTAGTGTATTTCTATGGTTTCGTTGTTGTTGTTTTAAATCACGTGCTTATGTCTGCCTGTAAGTGGGGGTGGTGTGCACCTAGAAGGCCTTGTTACAGGTGGTTGAGGACTGCTTGACATTGGGTTCTGGGACCATACTCGTGCTCTTTGGAATGAAGTTCAAGCACCAAGCCATCTTTCCAGCACAGTTCCTGTTGTTTAAAACCACAAAGTTTGTATTAATTTGTTCCAGGATCAAGGGGGTGGGGGGAGAAAAAAAGAAGCTTAGAATTTAATTTTTTTCTGCTGTTTTTTGTGTTTTATTTATTTACTTATTTATTTATTTTTGAGAAGGTGTCTCACTGGCTGGCCTGGAATTCTCTATGTAGACCAGGCTGGCCTCAAACTCTCAGAGAGTGGCCTGCCTCTGCCTCCTGAGTGCCAGGACTAAAGGTGTGTGTACTCCTTGCACAGCTTCCTGGGGTGAGTCAGGGTTGCTCTGGATGGCTTAGAGAAAAACTGAGGACAGTCCAGGAAAGGGACCTGGGTCACACACTGCAGCATAGGTGAGGGCTACGCGTGACTATGTCCCCTGAAAGGCGTATGTTGGAAATTTAACACTGCAACAGTACCGGGAGGTGGGGCCTGCTGGAGGCTGTTTAGGTCAGAGGGCTCTGAGCCCACAAAAGGTTTAGTTCCAACTATGGAAGGATTGGAGGGTACAAGCTCATGTTCTCTCTCTCCCCATTCACCCGCTCTCCATTGTGCCTTCTGCCGCGGGATGAAACTGTATGAGGACCTTCAACCAGATGCCAGGTGGCATCCAGATGTTCCCAGACATTCCAGCCTCCAGGACCAGAGCCGGCAACAAGACAGGAAGCTACATGTGTGGAAGGTTGGGGAAATCTTAAGCTCTCCTCCAAGCCAGGCTGCGCTGGCAGCAAGCAGCCCAGAGCTCTGGGTGGTGGGGGCGGGGCTGCAGAGGGCACATAGAGAGCAGCTGGGCGCTGCGCGGATTGCTTTCTGCCTCCCTGGCTGGGAACAGCTTCTGTTCAGAGCTGTCCATGCTGCTTGGCTCTCGCTGTTATCCTGAGTGGAGACAATGACCTGGCCATTGACCCAGGATGGCCTGACCCTGGGTCCTGCCCTGGGCAAGTGCTTTCGGAGGACACGTAGCTTTCCCAGGACACGTAGCTTTCCCTCCATTTTTGTGAACAGGCTAGAAACACAGAGTCTCTGGGAGACTGCCGGTGGGTGGGATCGTGCGTGCATGGGATCGTGCGTGCATACCTGGCGTTGCCATTTGGAGTCTCACGGTTAATCATTTATAGAATGGAATTTTTAGTTGGGCACTGTGGTAGGTGCCTATAATCTCAGCACTCAAAAGGCTGAGACAGGAGGATTGGTATAATTTCTAAACCAATCTGTGCCATATCTTGAGTTCCAGTTAGGATATGGAATGTGTCCATTGGGGAGGTTCTTGGGCACTGCTGTGGCCAAGGGGCAGGACCCAGGGGGCATAGAGAGGACAGTGCTGGCTACAATGGATACACTAGAAGCAGGAATTTGGCTTCCTTCTCAGCCCACAGCCTCCCTGGCCTAGGATTGGCCCACTAGGTCCAGCCCGACGGAGATGACCACACAGAGACTGACTCAGTCCTTCCTTCCCGTCCCTGCCACTTCTTCCTGGAAACTGCTCTCTCTTCGTGGTCCCTGACCTCCGTGGGCCCTGGAGGAAACAGTCAGAGTCCCCTCCTCCAAGGCTGGCCAGAATTGAGAGACCAAGAGGGAGTGCCTCTTCCCTCCCTTGTACGGGAGCCAGCTGTCCACCTCTTGGGAGCACAGGACCCCGAGAGGTAGGTGGGATGACGGGAGATGACAGGAACAATTTTCTTGGGGGCATCCAGGGAAGGCATGGGGCAGGAATGATGGCAGTCTCAAGAGGTATGTGAGCTCCCCTCCAGGATCACAGAGTGTCTGGGGTGGTCAAGAAGCTGTGCCCACCCCTAGGAAGCCTCTGGTGTCCCAGCCCAGCATGGCCTGCCGTGCTTGTGGCCTGAACCCACCCCAGGCCTGGCCTAGATTTTTTTTTTCCTTGATTGTTTTGTGTTTCCTTCCTCCCCAGGACTCCTGCCAAACCCTGCCCTCTCCTCCTCCCTTTTTACCCCCTTTCAGAGAATTTGACCATCCAAGTCCGGGGTTCCAGATGAGCAGTCACCCATGGAGTCACCCCCAGACGGTGGCCTCTGCCCTCAAGCGCTCCTTGGGAATTGGGTGG